AGATCGTGTTCGTTATCTTTGTACAATGCTGTAGAATGAACCTGGATTCAAAATATGATAAAGTTGTTAGATGAAAGACAGGAAGATAAAAGAAGTAAAGCAAGATGGGGTTTTTGATCATTAAAAAAAGTTCAGGTATAATGGGGCATTGTTCAGTGTCAGACTAATGACTCTGTGTGAAAGAGAGGAGAAAAAAGGGAAAAATTCATCAGATATGAAGAGAAATAATTAACTGCTTTTCTTTCTGCCCTGTCTTGGTCACAGAAGCTGACATTCCAATTAGCAGCTACAGTATACAAATGAAGCCTCCAGGTTTTGAAAGGACGTTTTGTTCGAGCGCTATGGATTTGAGGGAAGATGCCATGATGATATTTCTGTAGAAACCAAGGAAGAATAGATGTTTCGCATACAAACTGGTTCCTTTCACCTAGCCAGAGATCTTATTAAAATAGTTTGCAGTCACAAATGATCACGAGAACTGACATGGTAGGTAGGGAGGTCCTGTAAAAGGCGATGAAGGAAAGAAACTAAGTGTTTCAAAGGTGTTCTGCAGTTGTCAAATGACAGGGGATTATTTACTGCAAATTTACTACACCAGGGGGGCTTTGAGAATATGTATTAAATTGTACATTGAAGAGGAAGTTGTGCCTAACTTCTTCTCTTATCCAGTAAGGGAGGCAAAGATATGTGTAGCTGTATATGCATATGACTGACACCATGGCTGATGAGATTAATTATGGTTTAAAGTTATGTGTATATGTAAAAATAGATGAACTTTGTTGGATTAACAATCACAAAAATGCCATTTCAAAGGTATATTTCCTTTCTCTATAGATTTATACTGAGCCCAGTTCCAGATTTCACTGATGAAGCACATGCCTACTCATATATTTGCCACATAATTTGAGGCACTGTAGTTATATATTAATCTGTGTAAAGGAATGATTATAGTTTCTAAGGAATAATAATAGTTTCTAAGTAGCAAGAAAATATTATACAATGAGATTTTGTGCACACTCAAGTATTAGTCAAGCTAATAACTTGCTTTAGCCACATCTGCTCCCTCAGGGTTTTGTAATTTTGCAGCTGGACAGGAATGAAAAGAGTGTCATGAACCAAAGGTGACCTGTCCTGTAAAGAATGAGAGAATACCTCCCCTCAGTGAATGTTTGTGTTTTTTCCATAGTTGCACATATATTGGTTTGCTGCAAGATGCTTTTAGGGTGTAACAGCTGACTGAGCTCACAGCCTGTGTTTTTGATAGCAAGTGTGAGCCCAAGCAAGAAAGTATTATGGAAATGAATTGGAATGAGCACTTCGGAATAAAGTAGAGAAAATTTAGTAGGCAGGAGGAAGTCACAATGTTTGGTCTTAACAGATGCAGATTTGTATGCTGGTTGCCATACAGGACATCCAACATACTTGCAGTTCTCTCTGTTTGCTGTTTGCTTTTTAAGGCTGGAGGAGAACTACGAGATCGCAGAAGGGGTTTGCATTCCTCGAAGTGCTCTCTACATGCACTACTTGGACTTCTGTGAGAAAAATGACACACAACCTGTTAATGCTGCCAGCTTTGGAAAGGTAAGTCTCAGCAGCAGTATGATGCCTTAAGCTCTCACCTGGCTCAAGTGAATTTGTCTTATTGGAAAGAATTAAATCTTCATTTACTATTAGACATGGAGGTATAGGAATGAAATATCTTATATATTCAAATTACTAGACCAAGTCTGAGATTGTAAGCATTTTGAGGTTTGGCTCCAGAGTGCTTCAGCTGACAGTTGCATGGTATACACTCTTGGCAGCTGAAGCAGAATTGAAGGTTGAATACAAGCCAGTGCAAACACATCTGCAATTACCCCTTGCACTCCTGAAATAAATATGTAATTTTTAAAACCCAAAGGGTAAAATATCTGTAATTGAATTCTGGAACATATTTATGCCATCCTTGTAAGCATGATGTAGAGATTCCTGAATTAACTATATCAAGTGATATGGAACATTCACAAGGTGGAGGACAATGTCTCCAGATGCAAAAGTCCAAAAAGCATCTCCCTCCATCTGTGTGGCACTGCAGGTCCAGGCTTCCAAGTTACCTTTGCACTGTAAGTTGTGCTTCACGTTCCCATCCCACTCTAGTAAGAACCCCTGTGGTTAGCTCCAGATTCACAGTGGAGATGTACTCCTAGCACAGATGCAGTTGGGCATCACCCACATGTGAGCAGTAAAACTCTTATGCTATACACCAATAGCTGTCTAGAATGAATGTAACATACAGTTTGTATTTTGGATTTGCTGGTCCCATGGCGTTTTCCTCTTAGTGCAAAATAGGATGATATTTAAATATTACTATGGAATGTGTCACAGGCCTTGAAAACTTGTATGCTGTGAAAAAAACACAGTGTAGAGTTTGCCACTGTTTTTGAAATGCTTGAAGCGTGAGCCTGAAGCCAATTGTCCTGCAAGCTGTTCTCTTGTAGCGTTTGCTACATTTGTTCTATAGAAGTGGTGGGTATTCAAAGAAGGAAAAATGTTCTTAGGCTAAGTGCCTGTGTAAAGGGTAGGTGAAGGAGAAGAATGCATTTAATGAGGTGACATTTGCTGTAGTGCAACTTTTTGCAGGCAGTTTAGCAAGGAAAGTAAAGCGTCCCATGTCTTAAGGTTACTATGTTTGTTGTGTCTTGAAGAACTGCATAGTTGAGTTGATTCTGTGTCAGGCTTCTGTTTGAATACACTGTGTAAGTGTGAATAAAATAGTTTGTTGTACATATTATTGCTGCCAAGTGGTAAATATAGTGGCAATGTTTAATATAGGAACTGTGAGAGCAAGAAACAGATTTTGTACACATCTGGAACGTGGCTCAAATTTACACAGTGTTCATTTTGTTGCTGCTAAAAACTTCTTTGAATTGTAAAGTGTAAATATTCTGCAATTAGTTCATCAGAACATAAATTTTCCCGGGACCTCACCGATTTTCAGTGTGTGGCAATTTTATTACACTGTTTAATACTTCATCCCCCTCCTCTTCTGCCCCTCCTACACATACCTGGTCACTGGTAGGAGTATCTCAACCTAGCAGAACAGGTACAATGACTTCCATCCAAAAATCACGGCATTCCAGTGTGTTTTTCATGTGCTGTGGTCCAAGTGTTTTCTGCTCAGTTGCAGTAAAGTTCTCAAGCAGTGATGCATGAAAACTTTTGCCTTTTTGTGGAGCAGAAGCCATACAGAATCACTGTAGTACTCTCTCACACTAGTACTTCATGAGGCCTTTACTTTTGTGTCTGGGAACTGATGCTTCTGCACTGATGTGTCCAGAAACCTCAGACAACACTGGGACAAACACTAAAGTGAAAGAGACTTCTGCATCTGCAAAATCTTTAGCAGACCCCAGTGATTCTTTCCAGCTTATTACTGCCAAGAAAATCATGGAATCATAGAATTTTAGGGATTGGAATGGACCTAATAGATCATCTAGTCCCAACTCCCTGCCCTGGCCAGGAACACCACCTCAGCAGATCAGGTTGCTCAAGGATTCATCCAACCTGGCTTTGAACACTGCCAGGGTTGGGGCATCTCCTACCTCCCTGGGCAACCTATGCCAGTGTCTCAAAATGTACTTCACAGTAATGAAAATCTGCAAGGCACACCTCCTGTTCATTCTATCAATAGCTTGTAGGCTGCTTCTCCCTTGGAGAGGTACATGGATGAAGTTTCAGCCAACAAAGTTATCATGTGACTTAAATACTATATTGGCAATGTGCATTGCATAAGTGCTTTGGAAGCAGTTGAAACAGTGCAGTAAAATAGGTGCTATTTAAGGGGTTCTGCACTTAGCTGCTGGAACTGCATGTTTGTCCTCACTGGGAAACATCAAGAGCCCTGCAGCTGTCATCTCCTCCAGAGAAAGGAGCTAGTTGTTCTGTGAAATCATAGACAGCTTGTCTTTGAGTAGACCACATTGAATTTATGATTCATCTTTGAACTTTAACTCTGTGGGCAATGTTAAACACTTAGGCTTTTTCTTCAGCAGACTGGAAGTTTTCAGAGAGGTGTGGAGTTCAGCATGTTAAAACAAACTGTAATAAGTAACATCCTATGTATTGTTCCAGAGTCAGTTATATCTCAATGACAGAACAGTGTTGATTTCACTTTTAAAGCTGCCACTGGAGACATATGATACTTGACTGAAAGTGATCCCTCCAGATAAAGGTTTTGTAGACAGCACTTCAGTCTATGTGTGCTTCTCAAGCCTGATGTAAGGTAAATATGTCCAGAACAGAGCACAGCAGGGAGAACAGACACTTGCTCGTGAACTGCTGAATTAATGGAGCTTCCTACCACCACTTATGTTCCCTAAATTCATAACCTTACCTAAATTTTGTGTCATACCTCCATGTTTCCCTGAAGTCCATTCAATTATTTCCAGGTCCCAATCACTACACCAAGCTCTTGCTGCTTTCAGTCTTCTCACACATCTGCTGCTCCATCTTCCTACTTTATTTTTAGACTCCCTTGTGTCTGTCAGTCTATTTGCCTGTCTCACTTGTTCTCCCCCTCTCCTTGCTGACAGCTGGGCCAGAAGGAGCATGTGGGGTGGTGCAGAGCAGTAGAAGTGTTGAGTGGTTGCCTTGTGCTTATGGTTGTCCAGTTAGGCAGGGCAAATGGCTCTGCTCAACCTGATATTTCTTCCCTTGCCTTGTCCTCAGCATTAACATCACTGTGTTCACCCCACTATCTCACCAGTGTTTTCTATCAAACTTCTAGGACATGCACTGGACCTCAGGCACTTGGTAATATTAATTTAGTGAAACTAAAATTGGTCTGGGAGGTGGAGAGATTAACAGAGAGACAGTAACATCTCACAGACTGTTTCCTGAGGAAATAGCAATCAAAGGAACAAGAAGAAGAAAGAATAGAATTACTGTATAAATAAACACCCTTTAAAAAGTGACCTGCACTCCTAAGCCACATAAAGTACATATAAAATTAGGAATACTCAAGGATGGTTATTAATGTGATAGATTCTTGTGTGACAAAGGGAGATGTAATTTCAATTTGCTAGCCAAGATTTTAATGCTTTACTCACCCGATTAATATGTGAAAACTACAGGCAGTTTTGCCTGTACCAGTATTTGCTAGTCTGATAGGCAACCTAAGTCTGTCATTACAGTACTTTTTCTTGCCTGCAAAAGACAGGACCAAGCATTCCTAACTGAACTGTGACTAGGAAGGGCCCTGTGTTTGCTGGTTACAGCTCAGCATCAACAAGTGAAGACTCCAGTGTTAAACTCCTGCTCTTACTGTAGGCAGAAAAGCATATTATATTCAATGGGATCATGACTTCATGCGAAAGTGAAGCAAAGTCCAAATGTTCCATGAGAAAACAAGGAGGTACAATGAGGCAGGGCAGGTATGTCACTGGGTTGCTAACATTAGACTGTTGCATATGAGACAAAGTTCTCTCACAGTGAATGTGTTCAGACTGTGAATGAGTCCTCGGGCAGCAGGAGTGAAAGCCTTGTTGCTGAGGTCACTTCAAAAGGATGGCAGGCAGTTTTGTGCCCCTCAGCCCTGTGCTGTGAGTGCCTTGGGCTCTGCTCCGGGACACTCTGGATTCAGAAAGCACTTTCAGGTGTTTCCCACTGGAAGTTCTGCCACTGCCTGCAATAGGGAGTGTTGCAGAGGTGTATGTTCTGTGTTTTTTTCCTAAGCAATGTGTGAACATAAAATACTGGTGCTAATGACTGAGCTATGCATTGTTGTGGACAACGACTCTGACTTGTCATTCTCACTGGGTTTAGCTGCAAAAAGCAGAATTGCAGCCTTCACTGAATCAAATCAACAGTAGGGATGTTTTGAGCATTTCCAAGCCCCTCAGTAGCTGCTGTATATGGATGGGTGCCACAAGGCTCTCCTGGCTGTAGCATAGCACCTACCTGTTCTCAGCTGGGTTGGCAGATCTTTGAGCTCCAATGCTGATTTTTGTTCTTATTTACTTTAGTGACCCCGTATGTACATTGTTTTCTTAATCAAGACCCTTGAAGATTAATCTTCGTCATCTGCTTTCCCTTATCCTCCATGCCCTCAGCTCAGTGCTTTAATTTTGCTGTGCAGTGCTAAGTCCCTGCCGGACCCTGCC